TTCACCCTAATACACTTGGTTGACTGCCTCATTGGTCTAGTGGTTGTAGTAGTGCGACTGCTGATCATGAGGTATGAGGTCCCGGGTTCAAATCAAGGTTATTGAGTATTTCCCAGAAACTCTCAGTGGCTGCCCAGAGCCAGGAAGTTGGCGGTGTCTCTCTCTGGTTGTGTTGGTTTACCGTCCCATCGGTCTATGAGAGTGAGGGAATAAAGACTGCATCTGTGCTTGCGCATACACTTGGGCTCTATAATCCTGTCCTGCGCCGTTGAGACTGGCCGCCATGACGGAAATTCGGTCTGGAGGACATTATTATTCTTTTTACACTTGGTTGACAGTTCTTTCAAATAGATTCCGTTATCTTACTCTTGCTTGCGAAGTTACGTTATTGTGTTATTTGAAAATCCTGGACCTGGTTTGTGCTTGTTTCTTGTTTTTGTTGTATCTTCTTCGAACGTTTTACCTGTTTTATCTTCTGTACCAGTGTTGCCTGCTTTTGACGATTGACCCTGCTCTTGCCAATTAGAATCTGCCGCTACCAACGTATCGACCCTGCTTTTCCCTACTGGACTTTGTTTGCCGCAATTTGTATAAAATGCCGAGAAAATCAGCAATAAAGTGTTATTTTGGATGTGTGACTGAAGGTATGGTCATTAATCTTGGAAGTTCAAAAATTAAATAAGAGTTTCCCAACAGTACTTGTGGAACCCTAAAATATTCCTTACCAAACTAGTAGCAAACTGATATTCAATTTATCGTATCTTGTGTCAATAAGAACTTACTATATAAAAATTTCAGGTCCTTTTCACCAATTCCCGAAACCAGAATACCCAAATTTGGAGAAATTCTAACAGTGGAAAATAGTTTTGAATGAAGATATAAAAAGAAGAGGATTCGTTCATTTTTAACAATATAAGAATATGTGATTGTCACTTTGAGGAGTTTTACCGTTCTGCGAGTAAACTACTCACCAGAAATGCTGTACCAACTTTAAACTTATGAAAGTACCTCTAACTTGCTCAAGGCATTTTATAAATACTGCTCTAAATAAACAGAAATATGAAAAGTAAATAAATTATCAGTCATTTACAGTTTGTACCAAATGTTTGCTTACATTGTTATATAATTATTAAGCATCAAGATGAAGTCCGCGACTTGATCTGCATGGATTAAGGTATTTTTGATTCCTGTGGGAATAAAAACTAGCCTTGTAAGCAGCCTATTAACGAGAAACCTGAACCGGGATCCACTGGGAAATGTATTTTCCAGTATTAGGAGCAATGGGATCCGGAATGTATCGCCAACATGCTGCCAATTTACTGGAGCATATAAAATTTTGTTAGTGAATAGTTTAACTTCCCCTCATTTGATTGGTGCAAACTGTGAACGTGAAAATAACAAAATATTAAAGCCACTTAAATATTTAATTAATTCACAATAAATAAAAACAGGAGAGAATCCAATGTGGATTCTTTAATAAATTAGTTTGGACAAAATGAGAATTCAGAACCCAGCAATTTAACTACTAACAAAGCTAAACGATATGTGTGTATAAAAAAAATTTGTAAGAATTGTAACGTGTGTATAATGCAATTGTCACAACACTTCTGACCCAACTCGGCTAGAGCGCATCCAAGCCTTATAAGAATATCCCCTTTTTAAGACAATACAAGGAGTACGTCGATCCTCCGCATGATAAATTATTATAGACGATTTCTACCACATGCTGCAGAACTTCAAGCGCTACAACCGCAACAATTAAACATTAAGTTACCATAATTTTCGTACACATTACATTCGCTGCATTTAGATCGAAAACAGTGCTTGAGTTGTAGCCTTTGAGAAACAGACGAGGAAAACAACACAGGTGTGATCCGGTGTCAATCAAAATTGGCGCTTCGAAGATTTGTCTGTAACAAATAAACGGCGGCTATAAGGGTACAGCATTTTCGACATATATTCGAAATTCAGCACGCCACAATATTTACTGATCATAAACCGCTAATATTTGCATTCAAACAACGCCGTAAACAACTTCCACCAGCTCAATTAAATCCAATAGTCCATCTCAATTAGTTCCATTCCTAATTTATCTCTTAAGTTAGAGCTGGTACCACTTCCTGGATACAACATTTCTCTGGTCTGTGACACATCGACAGGTCGTCCACGCTCGTATTTGACTCCAGAATTTTGTCGGACGGCGTTTAATAAGTTACCCATATTCTATAAAAAATACGAGTATCTTTTGTGATCCAGACCGCATTGTATCCATTAAATTTAATCAAAATCCGTTCAGCGGTTAAAGCTTGAAGAAGTAACAAATACATATACAAACTTTCAGATTTATAATATTAGTATAATTTAAATTAAAAGCTTAAACGATTCATCATAAAATTATTTAAAATTTATTTTTTGGGATTCCAATAGAAAAGGCTGGCAGCCTTCCGCCGCATGACTCCGGGACTTTTTTCGTGAGGTCATAGACTTAGTATCATGTGCGATCATGTCAGACTTACTCTACGGTTGTGTTGGCTTGGGATTATGGGAATCCTTTGCAACATGACCAGATTTAGTAGATTTCTACTTTTTAGTAGATTTTGGCCCCGCAAAATTATATTTTTGTAGTGGAAAATGTTTAAGTATTTTTAATAGATGAATATATTTTAGAGAACATTTTTGTTCATTATTGATCTCTTTAATAATCATGTTTAAAAAATTTCAGAGCTTTACAAGCTATAAATAAATAATTGTACAGTACATTTTTATTTTGTTATTTAATTCTTAAATCAGACACATATTAGAGGGCGCATACCTTTTTCACAGTTTCTTTACAGAACTAACAACAGATAATGTTGAATAAAACTAAAACTTATTTTGAAATTCTCGACGTTTCGGGTGCTTACCAGTACCCATAACCACAGTTTTCTTCCTCGCACGACTTCCTTGTAGAATCGATTACCATCAGCGATTTTTCCGGACCGATACGACTTAGGGACCTTCAAGAAAAGAGCGTACTCCTTTTTAAAAGGCCGGCAACGCATCTGCAATTCTCTCCCTGGTGTTGCAGTTGTTCATGGGCGGCGGTAGTCACATCAGGTGAGCCGCATGCTCGTTTGCCCCCTCTCCTATAAAAAAAAGGTTCTAGGTGATTGGCATCCCGCTGTCAGAGTTAACCTGAATTTAACGCTAAAAAATCCGTAAAAGTAGTTTTATTCAATGTGTAATGTTCGCATAAATATAAGAAATCATTATGTAAAACAGATAATGTTGTTATATTGTAATTCCGAAACTGAAGTAAATGTATGTTGCGCTATTTCATTTATTATGAAAATAATATATGATAAAAAATAATATTGCTATTTAATTTTTTAACTGATGAACCATGGTGTGATTGTGTAATAATATCCACTATCACATTTCTTCCCGTATATGAAGTAATAAAAGAAAGGCGACAGAAGGAAGTTGAAACAGGAAATGGTTGCTCACCCGCCTGCCAAGTGTAGCTACTCCTAAAGGGGGGGGGGGGGGGGTGGCAGAGTGATTTTTCCATACATTATGTCTAAGCACACTTTTGTTTTTGAGGTACGGTTTTTACTTATTTTAAACTTACTTTTTTATCCTTTTGAGTGGAATATCACAAGCTCAAGGTAACAATAAGAACGGTTTATAAATAATTACAGTAAAAACTTCATCTATCATTCTATTTTTCCACCGATCCTTCAGGTTAAACTCAGGTTGTCATTAAAATTGGTTCAGCCGTTTCCATGAAATTGAATGCATTAAGCATATTCATCAATTTCGCGGAAACGAATATTTGTGACTTATACACTTACAAAAAACGTATGTTTGTGACTTACACATTATTTTCATTTCCAATACACAGGTATTATGTATATGTTCTTTTGAATATAACTTTACTTACTTGATTTGTTGATACATTTCTCGTTTGTTGCGGTTTGACTGATATTCATAAAATAATTCTATGCATTTCCTAAATCTTGTACTAAACGAATCGGATTATTTTATTTATTGTTTTATGAATATTGTAATATATTGTGTACATACGATCCACCAAATTACAAGCAATAGATATTTTGTGTGTTATGTGATATGCATTATGAATAAAAAAATATTATATTACCCCTATTAAAATGTTTTTTTTTATAGGATAGGGTGACTAACGAGCACACAGTCCACCTGATGTTAAGTGGTTACTGTGACCCATAGACATCTACATCTATCCTCAATAAAGACTCAAGATGCAGACGCGTTGTCACCCGTGAGGACTAAGATGGAATGCCTCTTTGCCAGTAAAAAGGGTCTGTGTGTGTGTGTGTGTGTGTGTGTGTGTGTGTGTGTGTGTGTGTGTGTGTGTGTGTGTGTGTGTGTGTGTGTGTGTGTGTGTGTGTGTGTGTGTGTGTGTGTGTGTGTGTGTGTGTGTGTGTGTGTGTGTGGTTTTTAGTTAGTGGGTTTTGGCTGCTTTACTAAACGATCTGTCAAATAAAATCTGTTCCCAATAAGCCTCTGACATTACAGACCTATTCCGACACACATAACGAAAGACACGAACAAAATTGCAATCCTTTTAGCCTGATGATGATATTAAATCAGAACATGAACGGAAATGATTAGTTGTTTTTATTAGGTTCAGACTAATTGTGGATTTCCTTTCTTCATTTTTGTAATTGTTTTGAACTACCATGTACTTTCCGTTTTACTAATAAATAGTAATAAATAACGCTAATAAGTTGGTTGTTTTACTGAAAGTAATATATTATGACTACTCAGTTTTTTCCTGGAATACCGTGATTTTATAGAATCTACGTATTTTTTAGTAACATATAACCGTTATAAAATCATCGACTAGATTTGGACATGGCAACATTGATTGGTATTTCAGGGAAAGTACCTAACTAATTACCTATCCTAAACAAAGTAGCTCTATGGTTAGGTTCATGTTCATTCAAAATACAATACAAAGTACAATGTTGTTTATCAATGACATCATCGAAATATATATACAGTAATCTATGATTTCCATTTTCCATTTCCATTTTCCATCAAAGGTCAATAAAATCACATCAATTTTTATGTTGTTGAATTAATTTATATTAATTTAATTATTGTGTTTGTTAGTTAGTGCTCTGCATAGATTACATAAGTATAACTAGTGTTCTGTGATCCTTTTAAAAGAATTTGTGTAACACAAATAATATATTTTATAGGATTTATGAGATATAATATGGAAACTAATAATACGTCTTTTAATAATATGCAATTTTCTTTGGATTCCGAAGTGGTTGAATCCGAAAATTCAACTTTTGCTGAAAATTCAACTCAAAATGTTGAAGTGAAATTGTCTCCTGTACAAATTCAGCAAGAATACTTTGAATATTTACAGGACTGTGATTGGATTAAGTACGTATTTATTTTTACTTTTACTATACACTATTGTAACTCTCACAATGACTTGGGTTTCTATAGTAATCGCCAAATTGCAAAATAAGTAATCTTCAGATTGCATTAATATTTCATTGCTACGCTAGTATCATGTCACTTGGCAGGTGGATTGTCTTATTATTTTATTTTTGTAAAAAGGTAATTTAAATTTATAAATTAATATACCTAGAAAGAATGGTAATAACAAAACATTCTGTATAAAGGTATTATTAAAAAATTATATCATTTCCAGCATTAAAAAAATTACAATAATAAAATCCACTCCAATACAATACACCATCACTGTGATATATCTAAAGTATTTTTCTTTATTAGCCTCTTAAAGTCTTCTGCAAGATTAGGCTTCTGTTATGGGGAAGATTTGTCATTTTTGGCAGAAGGTTTGACAATTGCACTCTGTTGGCAGTCTGGTTTTACATCTTATGTATACCAACATGGTATATATCATCGCCGTTAGATTATTCTGGCACTTCCCGTTTAAACATCTTACAACACCCAAGGTAACATTCTCATACAATGCCACCACACAGCACATATATTGTTATAGCTAAAGGCCTTGATCAATTATTACAGATATGAAAAAAGCAATAGGAGTCACTTATTACAAAACATAGCTTTTGCATTATTTGGAGGTCCTAGTGTAGAAGGAGATTTGTCACGTAGTGGGAGTTATCAAGAAGTTCATCTAGAAGGCTACACCTCAAGACAAAGGGAACAAGTTATTAAAATATATAATAAGCTATGTGAACAAAGTATGTACAAGCAGTTTACATTTTTATTTAAGAGAATATTAACATTCAGTTCTTGAGATATTCTATTGAAGCTTAAAAATGTTCAAATATTGGGCATAGGCTGCCCAAATTATTGAAAGTATAAGAATCTCTTTGCTTGAGTAAAGACTATGTTCAGCAGTGGACTTGTGAAAGACTGTAATGATGATGATGATTGCACTAATAGACAATTTGCACCTTGGAATCTGCCTATTACTGGTTTGCATACTTTTTGTTAGACGGAAACGAGATGGTTATAGTGGCATCTAAAACTATAAGATTTTTCTAGCATATCCCATAGTCACGTCTTACAACACTGACGTGACAAAATGGGATTATGGTGGTACCTCTATGGAAGTCAAGTCCGGTATGCCATTCTAAAATACTTAAATTTATATCTACATATATGTTCTACTTGTATAATGTCTGCATTATATTGAATATCTGTGTCTAAAGGTCAACATTTATGACCAACCTAGATATAAAGTTTTGAATATTGTCACCCATCTTGCTCATATTGGATCCGGATTTCCAGTAATGGAAAAAACTGGCTTTACATGCTTTCAGAGCCACAGGGGTGAAAGACCGTCCATTTCCTAACTGCAGGCTGTTACTGAAAATTTCTTGACAGATAAATTCAATTACTGATTTTGGCCCAACTGGCGATTCTAACCCGGGACCTCACGACAGCAGTTGCATTTACAATCACTAGACAAATGAGTCGGTTTAGGTCTTCTATCCATAAAACCAATGTCAATGTGCATAATATTAAACAAAGATGCAAACACTTGTGAATGTTTTAGCACTTTATGTGACACTATATGTACAGGTGCTATCTTAGAGAACTGTAAAAGTGTAGTTAGTAAATGATGTAATTTTTTTTCTGGATACTACCTAATTAATTAGAGATATAATTAGTCACAAGTGGAGTTAATATAAAGCCATCCATAGCTCCATAACATGATAACCGAGTAGTTGATGGATAGATGCTAAAATATTATACTGCATTCTTTCACTTTATACATGCACCAGGATGTGAATGTCAGTATGGTGTGCATAGAAGGACACCACATGATTGACTAGATGGAAACTTAAGTAAGGCATTGTTTTTTTATATTATGCTCCATGATTTTAAGACTAAGGAGTGTAATTATTTAACACTCACAAAATAATATTGCTAACCATTAGGCCGAATATCAAATACCAAAATCATTAAAAAAAAAGTCTCCCACATTACTCTAAAATGAATATATTTTACCACCTAAACATTAAAATTAATACTATCAAATATAAATTTATATAATATAATAATAAATTTATCAAAGGTAAGTTGCAATGAATGAATACAAATTTCAGCATTTGTTGACAATAACAGAAAACTCTTTTCCTCTTAAACTATACCCACTTCTGAAAATAGCCTCTCAATGTATACACTGCTTCTGTGGGATGATAGATAAATTTTTTGTATATTCTGTCAGTTTTCGATATTGTTGTGCGTTTGCTGACCACCACTTGTAAGGGTTTGCTGTCTGATCTAGGCAAGCCGTTTTCATCCATTAAAATTTAATTCATTTGCAATCGCCACATCCTTATTATCATCCATATTTCTCCATATTTTCAGTAGCAACTTCCTCAACACAATTCCAGACACTGTGGTGTTTCAATGGTTTTGTCATCTTCATTGTTATTTATTTTCTTACAAAGAGGAGAAGAATCCTCATTAATCATCGTTACTGAAACACAATTTGACGTAACTTTAAACAAATAATGTGTGTCGTGACGCGATTAACTCGCAAATGAAACAAATACGTCACCCTAGTCACATTGCCACCACACTACACGCATTAGAGTGAGATAAGTCGCATTCTGTGGCCGTGCCGAATATTCGGCGCTTCGGCCAAGTGCGTGGCTTAAAATGCGGTATTCGGCAAAATCACTATTAGTGGCATCTCTAGTTTTGATACTTGTATAATTGATATTTTTATAATTATTATAAATACATCATATAATATAATTGCTATAAGATCAGAACATTGTCTTGTTGCAGGTAAATATTCCCAAAACAATGAAGACATTGTCATGTCAATTTTATTAGTTGTCTGTGCAAAACCAAACCCTTTAAAATACTATCAAATTCAACCAAGAAACTATTGGTTAGATCTACATCAGAGAAATGATATTATTATTTGGTGTACAGCAGTGTTTCGGGTTAGAAAATGTATACCTACTACTGTTGATGGTATGTATGTTTATTAAGTTTACGTGGTAGAGCCATGCTGCAGCTATATTAGTAGTATAGTTGTAGCACGAATGGGTTGGCTCGACCGGGGAAGGATCACGCTCTCACAGAAAACCAGCGTAAAATAGCAGCTTAACGCTGATGTGTTTCGTATGGTGAGTGTAGAGAACCGGAGACCCCTTTTACTGGCAAAGAGGCATTCCATCTTAGTCCCCACGGGTGACAACGCATCTTCATCTTGAGACTTTATTGAGGATAGATGTAGATGTCTATGGGTCACAGTAACCACTTACCATCAGGTGGACTGTGTGCTCGTTTGTCACCCTATCCTATAAAAAAAAAGTATATTACTAACTGTTACTTATATTAAAAAACTAGATAGTGTAACTTTAGAATTTATTAAAACCTTAATCACATCGCCATTTTTTAAATAGAATAAGGGTGATAAACGAGCACAGTTCACCTGATGGTAAAAAAATGATGTTAACCACTTGACACACTCGTGAAATGTGGGAGGGTATTTACCATGACCCTTCATATGTGATTAACATATTTTTATTTTTAAATATATTTACTAGGTGGTAGGACTCATTTATCTCGGACTCAGTTTTTTTTATAGGATAGGGTGACAAACGAGCACACAGTCCAATGGTAAGTGATTGCTGTGGCCCATAGACATCTACATCTATCCTCGTTTGCGAATCAAAATGCAGATGCGTTGTCAGCCATGAGGACTAAGATGGAATGCCTCTTTTCCAGTAAAAAGGGTCTCCAGTTCTCTACACTCACCATACAAAACAGCAGTGCTAAGCTGCTATTTTACACTGGTATTCTGTTAGAGTGTGGTCCTTCCCCAGTTGAGCAGACCCATTCGTGCTACAACTATATTACTAATATAGCTGCAGGGTGGCTCTATCACATATAGTTTTATTCAATACATATTGTTAGCGTAAAATATAAGAAACCATTACAAAAAATGTAATTACAAGCTATGAGGCATATTTATCTTTAGTCCTCAGAGGTGAAAACACAGCTTTATTTGAAGTTGGTTACTGGTGCCCATGAGCCACAGTAGCCACTCATCATATTTTCATATCTGATATCATATCAATATCTTTCTTGGTAGAGCCATGCTGCAGCTGTATTAGTAGTATAGTTGTAGCACGAATGGGTCGGCTCGATCAGGGACAGACCACACTCTCACAGAATACTAGCGTAAAATAGCAGCTTAACCCTACTGTCTTTCATATGGTGAGTGTAGGAGAACCAGATACCATTTTTACTGGAAACGAGGCATTCCATCTTAGTCCTCATGGGTGACAATGCATCTGCATTTTGATTTGTAATAGAGTATAGATGTAGATGTCTATGAGCCACAGCATCCACTTACCATCAGGTGGACTGTGTGCTTGCTTGTCACTCTTATCTTATATAAAAAAAGCAAAGATTGTTAAAGCTGCTCAAAGCTGAGTGAAGCCGCTCCTCTCGCAGTCGGAATAAGGTCCCTGCGTCCCTAGAGTAAAATACGCTGCAAATTATAGTTATGTTTTTACTTATCTCTACCACATGACGAATTATTACATACATTTATTCATCAATTGTCCAACATTTATAACAAATTATTTCAGCCAAGTCATGTAAAATATACATTGATGATAATGCAAGAGTATATCAAAATTGGGATTCATATTTGGCTAATAATACACTACCAAAGTGTGTTATGATAGTTCCAGAGAATGGAGAATACAAAGGTACCCTTATTGAGGTAAGATTTAATCGTATTTTAAATAAAAAAAGCCATTTTTTCTTTAGGCTTTTTTAATAGAAAATATTTTTAATGTATAATTTAATTATTGTTTATAAACGACGGAAAAGGAAAACATCATGAGGAAACCTGCATGTTTGAGAAATTAAAATAAAAAGAAATATTTCGAAGACCTGAAGTTCGCCAACACGCATTGTGGCAGCGCAGCGGACACTTTGTTTGCCCTAAAACCCTCTCAAAAGTCAGAGAAGGCCTGTGCCCAGTTGTGGGACGTATATAGGCTGTAACTTTACATTTTAACTTTAAATGAATTGTAGTAATAATTTTAATTATTATTTAAGGAAAGTCTCTCGCAGGTGGATAATAAAATAATATAAACGACAGCTCCGTGGCGCAATGGTTTAGCAATAAGTTGCTGCGCTGGGGGCCGCGGGTTCGAATCCCGCACGGAACAAGTATTTGTATGCCCTACAAATAATTGTTCCGGGTCTGGATGTTTGTCCTTGTGCAATTTGTGTATGTAAACTGCCTCCACGATACAGGAGAAAATCCTAGTGTGAGGGTAACGTTATTTTTAAAATAAAATAAAATAAATAATCATATGGCATTTCCTGTAATTACTTAATACATAATTATAAAATAACCAAATAGAAATTATTAAAATTATGTTATGTAATTAAAATTACGAGGGTATTGTTATAATGTTTAAGATAAAAATGTGTTTCAGAGTGAAAAAGCATTTGCTGTTAAATTAACTGTAGCTCCATCGCCTTCTTTGGGTCTTAAGGCCAGAGTACTAAGTTCCGTTGATACGGCAAGCACAGTTGCTTCTTTAGGAGCTGTGGGAGTACTTGGTGTTGCCGCATTTACACCTGTTGGGCCAGCCATTCTCGTTGGTGCTACTGTTGCAACTGTCGCAACAGGAGTATATGGTCTTGTTCGTTCATCTATACATCTTCACGATAGAAGGATTCACATGCAGGTAATTTGTAATATTTTGTTAACATGATTTATTTATTTCTTCTTGATTGATAAGAAACCAAACTACTAAATGCGAGTAGACAGAGTAATACAATTTGGATTCCCAATTACAGGTGGTTAAAATTCCAAATTTTTTGATAAAAAGTCTGATCTTTAGCCAACATCCTGGCAATAAAACAATAGATTGTAATTATAATGCATTATTTGCTAATTAAACACATTAATTGCTATTTATATTTTTACAATTAGTCTGTTTTGTAAAAATGTGTGTTTTATTTTGTTAAATATGTTTCAAGTCTTATTCACTTATAAGGGCAATAATGGAAAAATGAATCTATGTATAACGAAATATAGTAGGGTCTCTCTTACAAATATATTTTATCAAAAAAAGTTTTAATTGTTATGCTTTACTATCTTCGGCTATATTACCACTTGCCATCAGATGGGATGGTAGCCAAGCACTGGTTTATAATAGTCGAAAAATGCAGTGAACAACCTTAGTAGTGATACACTGGGAATCATACTTAGGTTGCTCCTGAATTCTGAAACTAAAGCGCCAATTCTCTGATACTTCTACTGAAAAGTAATAAAACTTACTTAATACATAATCATTTAAAATGTTTTGTTATGATCCATTTGTTGTACTAAAGCAGCTAGTTCATAAATAGTCTCAAATATATGTTTAGAGATGATAATATAAGTAATTATCTATAGTCAGATAGGGGACAAACGCTCCTTTGTGATAACTAACACAGATTGTACACTATAATGTTGAAAATGGTGATAAGATACACTTTCACGTCACTGTTTTTAGTTTATCTGTAAAAAATGAATACAAAAAACAGTTCAATCAGGTTGGAGCTATGGTATCTATACAAATAAATAAAATTGATTTGTCTATTTGTAATGTCGAATAATAGTTTTTTTAATAAATGTATATGAAATTATTACATCACTTACCTTCGATTTGCCGGCAATATCGTCCTTATAGCAAAATCGCTGAAGGTCCTAAGCACTATGCTCTTATCTTCTTGTCAAGTATACCTCAATACTGTACAAACGAAACGAGAAAACGAGACCATACAACCAGTGCGTGTTGCCAGTAATGACCTAAGGAAATGAGACGTGGTCCTTCACTGCTGGCCGGATGAGGAAGCTCAAGGTCGCTAAGCGAGCTATGGAGAGGACTATGCTCGGAGTTTCTCTGCGTGATAAACTTAGAAATGAGGATATCCACAGTAGAACCATAGTGAATGACATAGCCCAACGGATTAGTAAGCTGAAGTGACAATGGGCCGGCAATATAGCTCGAAGAATCCACAACCGATGTGGAAGAAAGGTTCTCGAGTGGCCTCTTTGTACCGGTGGACGAAGTGTAGGGCGTCCCCCCACTAAATGGAGTGACGTACCTGGTAAGACATGCAGGAAGTCGATGGATGAAGGTGGCTCATGACCGTGCTTTGTGGTATTCCTTGGGGGAGGCCTATGTTCAGCAGTGGACTTGTGAAGAGCTGTAATGATGATGATAATGATATGAAATTATACATAAATGGTACTTGCAACAAAACAACAATTTTTAAAAATTTTGTCTGTCTGTTTGTTCCGGCTAATCTTTAAAATGGCTGGGCTGGACCGATTTCGACAAGATTCACTGGCAGATAGTAAATGTTATAAGGAGTAACTTAGGCTACTATTATTTTAGAAAAATGAAAACCCATGAAATCCAATTGTGATAAATTGTACGCGGACGAAGTTGCGGGGAACAGCTACTATTATAATGTAATCGTAATCTGATACTTATAATACTAAATATACTCCTATATGTGTGGCAGTGAAAGTTGGCTGTGACAGAAGAATCATGAAAGCAAAGTTAATATTGGAGTAATGCAGTCATTAAGGGAGTATGTTAGTGCTGACTGAATGATTGGATGGGAAATTGTGAGATAAGATAAAAGTGTGGCTTAATTAATAGAATCAGGCGTTACTTTGCGGAAATCCATTATATTAAAGTTGGTAAAAATTACCTCGCGTATATCCGCTCGATAAAAAAAAATATGTTAAAGCTTTTAAAAAGTTACCTCGCAAACATCTGCACGATAAAATAAAATGATGTGACCCACCTAGTATGAAGAGCACCTACCCCCTCAATTACTTTTTATTTTTGTTTGTTGTTTTACTAGGTGGGTCACATCATTTTATTTTATCGAGCGGATGTTTGCGAGGTAACTTTTTAAAAGCTTTAATATAATGGATTTCCACAAAGTAACGCCTGATTCTATTAATTATAAAATTACGTGTCTTACCTAGTTTGAAGAGCACCTCCCGCACTCCCTCAATTGCGTGCACTATCCCCGTCACCACTTATCCCAGCACCACTACTCCCAACACCATTGCATTAGAATAGACACACCACTGACGACAATAGGACACGTGTTACGCCTCTACACGAGGCATCTTCAAGTGATGCAGATTCTGCGGTGGCTAACCGCTAAGACTTACTTCACTTAGCGGTCAGCCATCGCAGAGTCCAAATTTTACCAACTTTAAAAGTGTGGTTTGCAAGATGCTGTGATTAGGATTAAGAAATAAATGCTTCATGGTTTGGACAGTTAGAAAGAATGAAAGAGGAAATAGTCACAAAGCAAATTTATGTTGCAGAAATTAGTGGCAAAATGGACATGGGATGTCCTAAACGAAAGTTTATCGACTCTCAACCGACGAACGTGTATGCGTAGGTATATGGATGTGAAGCGGGACAGGTGTGTCATGATTGTGCTAATGGAAGTCCGCAATCCCTGCCTACCCCCCTGGGTAACAGGCCTGAGTTTATGTTTATTCCGATGGAAGGATGAATAGTCGATCACTGAATACTAATAATTTAAAAAAATAGCTCAATATGTTAAACGCGTTTGTATTACGTAGGGCGTAACATTTTGCACTTGTGAGCTATGCGAAACCGTTAGAAAAGGGGCTCGATTAAATTCCAAATAATTTAGAATTATTATGGCATGCAAAACATTTTTGCGATTTTGTTAGCTCATTATTAACTAATTAACTAAACAATAATAATACCTGATTTTTTTTATTTAAGAGTATTAGCCCAACGGACGCAGAAGCGCGCGGAAGTTGGCTAAATATCGCGGCTTCAACTGTTGGACTTGCGGCTGGTGCTGCGAGCACTTTGCTATCACGAACTGCTGCCACCGGCAGTAATTTAACCAAGGTAAGTTAACCCTTCATCTGCATCATAGTTTTAAGTCTAGAGTGCACCAGATACACATGCAAGATCAGCATCAAGTTACATGTTGTTTCAATGCTTTGCATTGAAGTTATTCAGATTTGAAAGACAAATGCGTTTTTCTTGTGGCAGAAGCGTGTTGTAGATCATTTTAAAGAAAATTAAATGTAGATTTCGGGATTACTTGTTATTTTTCATAAGTTAATAATTAGAAATTACCTATTTCTTCATTGTTCTGGCCAGTTTGTGGGTTAGATCATTTCTACACAACACTGACCAATATTGGTGTTACTTTAAAACCTTTTTTGAATATTTTCATGATAGTACATTTAAATATAATCATCATATTCGTACTCTATGGTGCCGGGCATATAGCGTCGGAGAACCTAGAGCATGGGGAAAAATAGTTCTTGATTAGCAATATTGTACTGGTAAATGTTGTGTTAGGGAGTCCCCAGTGTTGCTAATGTCATTCTCACCGGCTCGACTCCGACGACGCGTCGCGACGTCGGCCTACAGCAAAACGACTGGTTTGCCGATTAGCTGATCGTATCCGTACAGCGCTGAAAGTAATCGAACGACCACTTCGACGTGTTTAAGTTTCCGACGGCAGCCGAACGGCGCTGGAATGATCAGGTCTCATGCTTTTCGTAGGTAAAAAAATACATATATCCAAAAAAATTATATATTTTGTGAAACAACGATAAGCTTTCTTATTTCATCCGTAATGTTGGCAGCCTTGGAAACAAAATTAACCCTTTCAATGCTGACTTGATGAGCAGCCGTTGCGACGGCCTTTCGAAGGAGTCGACAGCCGATAATCGGCGTTAAGTCGAGTAGTATGGTGATACGTATTCGGTTTAAGCCGATTCCGCGTCAATAAATGTCGGGACCCCTTACATGGCACTAAGAATGACGACCTAGTAAGACATATATTCAGCAATTGACTTGTTGATAGTAATTGTAGTGTGGAACTCTGTCTTTACGAACTGTTGTCAGTTTCACTAGTAGTGGCTGACATGTTACATAGAAATACCTTGTGTGGCCGTAACTTCTGTTATACATTAAAAAGCATATATTTTTTACAGATACAGGGTTATAATAATAAAACTCATGTAAACATACGTTATTAAAGTCTTTGATATTAATTAAAAACAAGTTTTGTTGAAAGTGGCCGCCTTTAGCTTTAATAAAGGCTTTTAATTTCCTGTACCACGCATCCATGGATTTATGAATCACCACGGAGATTTAACCACTGCTAGCTCTAAAGATTTCTTGAATGACTCAATGTCCGTGTACGATTTTAGCTTGTCATGTAAAAGAAAAACTTGCAAATTAAACTGTTTACGTTCTTTTTTTATTTTCTAAATTACAAGTAACCCTTTCCTTCTAAATTTCTAGTTATTATAAAAATGTTAAATCATATACGTGTAATAAAATTGTCTTTTATTATGAATTATAGATCATTTTATTAATTACAATACTACTATGTTCGGTAGCATTCAAAATAATAGTTTCCCTTTAGGCATAAATAATTGGAATTGTATATATTAATTTAAACATTTCTTTCAGACTGGGCAAGCCTTGACGCTCTCCGTAGAAGTTCTTCGTCATGCAAACATATTTACCAGCGGTGCTGGATTTATTAACAGTCTTGTGCATATTATTGTGAAGGTATGTGTACCTGTGATTTATTTTCGTACATTTTTTTTTATAGAATAAGGGTGACAGACGAGCACACAGCCCACCTGACGGTAAGTGGTTGCTGCGGCCCATAGACATCTACATCAATCCTCTATTACAAATCAAAATGTAGATGCGTTGTCACCCGTGAGGACTAAGATGGAATGCCTCATTTCCAGTAAAAAGGGCCTCCGGCCACCTGCACTCACCAAGCGAAACGCAGAGGTAAACCTCTACTTCACGCTGATTTTCTGTGAGGTCGTGGTACCACCCCGGTTCGAGCCGACCCATCCTTGCGACAGCAAAAGCTGCCGCGTGGCTCTACCACTGTTGATACCAGCGATTCTATATGACTCAGTTAATAAAGAACCTAGCTTTAAATGCAAATGCTATTTAAGCAGCTCCGAGTAGTGGTTTATCATTTGGCTTCTAGGCCGCGGGTTCCAATACCGTACAAAACAATGTGCAGTCTACAAATCGACACTCCAGGTCTAGATGTTTTACCATGTGCAAATTATGTATATCAAACGCCTCTGCAAAACAGGAGAAAATCCTAATATAGTGACGGGAATGGTAGGGAGGGGGGTGGGGTGGGGGGTGGAGTACATTATTTTCTTAATCAAGTTTGGCTAAATGAAAATGTAAATCTATTTGGACTTTAAAAATAAGCGCATCGACATAAAATGTCAGATTTTTTTCTTATCCCTTCTACAATTTTGTGTTGTATCGTAGAGGCATTTTACAAACATAAATTGCACAAAGACAAACATACAGACCCGGAACAATTATTTATAGGACAGTTAAATAGAATGTAACTGATTGCTGTCTAATTTGTAGTATCTGTGCGTATTGTGTTTAATAATCAATATAATCATTCGCAGTATCGCAAACATGGAGAGACTCCAACGAAACTCGAACTGTTCCAATTCTCGGCTGCCACCTTGTTCTTTTTCAACGCGGCAATATCCAACCGAACTGCACAGAATATTATTGAGGATGCTCAAGCCAACACTATTAATGAATATAGAGCTTCGCTTAGAAGTAACAATCACAGGTAAGATTATTTAATTTTATTATAAAGTTTTTTTTTTTAATTTTCCTTGCCAGTGATTGTTGTTCTGAACTGCCAGTGTATGAATGTTTTGCCCAATTTATTATGTTGATTCATATGGAGTGGCAGTAACTCTAGTTAATTACTACATGTCAGCATGATGTGAATTGCATTATGTTATAGTGATGTCATAATCGAACAATATTGCCCAGAATTGAGCAATTTGAGTTGCCTGTGTATCTTCACCATAAGTAATATAAATATAACTACTGATTTTTTCAGACTGATGCATGAATTTATCTCTATGAAATTTTTAAGAAAGTTGTTATTTTTGATAAATGTATTGAAATTCTGAGTCCTGATAGATTCCTAAGAAAATAACATTGCATGTTTGTTTGGGGCTTTTAGGATCCATGGTATGAATGTGCCAACTGTATTAATTGTCTAGTATGTACAAGGCGGCTAATAGGATATTGAATTTGTGATTGTGTAAGCGGGGCGAGCTAGCCATCTATCACTTCTTTTAAAATTTTCCGTCCGAGCACATATTTTTTGGCTAGCATAAGTCCGAATAGCTTACTGCTCTTTGGACGCTACCTACCCCTCTTAGTTAACAGGCGTGATAACGATGTATGTATTTGAAATAATAAAATGATAGTTTACACTTACACCTTTTAACGTGGTAGAGCCATGATGCAGCTGTATTGGTTGTATAGTTGTAGCACGAATGGGTTGGGTCGACCAGGGAAGAACCACGCTCTCACAGAATACCAGCGTAAAATATCAGCTTAATGCTGCTGTGTTTCGTTTGGTGAGTGTAGAGAACCGGAGACCCTTTTTTACTGGAAAAGAGGCATTCCATCTGACACAGCTGACAACGCATCTGCCTTTTGATTTGCAAACGTGGCTAGGTGTAGATGTTTATGGGCCGCAGCAACCACTTACATCAGGTGGAATGTGTGCTCACTTGTCACCTTTATCCTATAAAAAAACGTAATATGTACATAATGGTTACAGGAAAATATTTGATAAAATCAGTGCAGAATCCAGAAGAGTAAAAGGAACTATCCACGGCAATACCGAAGTCATACAGGGAATCAAAAACATTGTTAATAAAGATCAATACTTTGCTGACATCCTACGCATAAATAAAGATATCAACCAACATAAACTGAGGATATCAATGACTGCAGATGGCCGAGTTAACTTGAATGCACAACACAACTTCAACCCGTCTGATTTAAGCAACATAGGAAAAGTAGAAAGATCAGAATTGTTTAGTTCTTTAGGTCCCGCTTCCGTTACAACTAAAAATGTACCTACACGAATCTTGCCCACCACATCTGTTGCACAATATGTTGATTCAAAGAAAGAAAACAGCGTACTCATGTCACTTCCTCCTGGAGAAATAATACAAATTGGTGTGTATTTCATACGGGTCAGTGCGTCTGGTGCAGAAAATATTGCAAAAATGTTGGAAAATGTCAGTCAACAAATTTACGAAAGTCTAATGACCGTTTGCTTTAATATAATCGCAAAATTATTGCCCGAAGATATAGCCAAGCTGAAGCTTTTAAATCCAGAAGAAGATCTAATATCTCAAATAGTAAAATTTGTTTTCAACTATATGAAACATAAAAGACCACTTGGCAATCCGTGCAGGGATACTGACGATGGTATTGTAATAGTTTTGAAAGAATTTTTCCAAGATGGCATCATTCGTCAAGATACAATTTTGCATCTGAAAGACCGTTTAATGTTTTGGATTAATGAAGAAATCAATCGGAGGAGTGCGTTGTATCCACAAAAGAAACAAATTATTTGTGACCTCTGTCAAGGCATTCGCTTTGCTTAACCCATATGCATATTAAACATGTTTTATATTTGCGTTCACTGCTGGTTAACAAAGCATCAATTGCACATACTGCGCACAAAACATCAATCCGTATAATAGAGTGCTAAAGTTAACAAATACCGAGTGGTGGCGGTGTATATCTACTACGTAAGAGGCGACTGAGGGAAACCAATCAGGAGATGGGCAGCAGTGTCTTCGAATAATGACTAAAAATAGAAAAAGTGCGGTTCCGAACGAAGTGTGGTAACTATGGCAAATATTCCCCTTATGAGGCAATTTATGGGGGAGGCCTATGTTTAGCAGTGGATTTTAATAGGCTGTAACCATTATGGTAAGTTAACAAATTTGAAACATTCGCTAAGGACTGGTTTTATTTTTGTCATTTTTATCTTATAATTAATAATTTAAAATTAAAAATTTTGTGCAGCCGACTTCAATATAAGTTATTTAAGAATAACTCAAAAACTATTGGTCTGACCTTGATCAAATTCATATGGGACCACACGAGAACTATCAACTTTCATATAGAAAAAGAATCATCGAAATCGGTTGACCCAGTACAAAGTTATGAGGTAACACACATAAAGTGTTACCATCTCCTTTTTGGAAGTCGGCAGAAAAGAGTACTTACCTTATTTATGTGCCTTTCATAACTTTACATTTTCTCACTACCCAATTTCTTATTTTTAGTTTTAATATTTTAAAAGTATTCTGCTATAAAGTTCTATTTTAATACATTCTTATTATTATGTGTCAATGAATGTGTGTATTATGTATGTGTGTATAAATGTTAGTAATTCAATTTATAAATCAGTTTTCATCCAAATTTCAATGCAATAATTTCATGGCCATGACCTTAATAGTATTCTTACTAGAATCATCGCAGCCCATAATCAATGCATGTTTGTTTTGTTTAACATAAATATTATTAGTTTTAAGAATCCTGATTTTAGAAAACTATCTTTTTCTAAATTTCTTACTTATGCAATGTTTGTGTAATTTTTTCCTGATGAGGAAATATTTGTAATCTCATCAAAAAATGCGTATTTCTTCTGAATAGGTAAAAGCAAATTTGAAATTTATCTTTTTATTATTAGAGGCTTTTTTATTAAACTAGGTGTTACTGGGCATTCCTATTTTTCTATCCAAAGAGTTTAATATAACTAATATACATATCATGAAATTGGTGAGTTATATTCAAAATTTAAAAATATGATATTATATACCAGTTTATATTATTTTTTTTAAATATATAATCATTAATAACGAATAAGTATAATGTGATATTATGGTAATATATTATGTTATTGGTAGACTTTAAAAAATGTGCCTTTAAGATGCTTTCTTACATAGAACCGCGCTTGACATTTTGGGTAAAGGTTCAGAGGTATTATATATTATAATGATGAATAAAAAAATTTTGCTCCGCCATATTTGTTTTATTTCTTCTCTGTAATATATGTGTTGTCAGTACTTTTAATTATGTATCCTGCATTTTTACAAGTTGCTCTTATCACATATGAATTTATTTTATATTAGAAATACTTATGAAAAATTATAACAATTAAGCTTCTTTATTCTTTTCGGCTATATCACGCTGCACTCTCGGATTGTATTGAAAAAATTTTGCAATGAAGTACCTGCATAAAGAAAGACCATGATACACAAGACAATCTTTTTGTAGGTATAAACAAAGTCCGGCTAGAAATGCATTGTCACCACCTGTAATTATATTCCATAATATACTAGGAGTATATTTTGGTGATATGTTTAATATTATTAGAAAGAAAGTTGTGTATTTTATAATAAACGAAATCGTTTGAAAAGGTTTCTAAGTAACTTAATGAAAAAGTTACCATCAAATAAAAACAAGTCATTTTCTTGTTTGTCTGTGGTTCCGGGTGGAATTTAGAAATTATTTTAAATTAACTAAAAATTAAAGTTTCCAGCTCATCGGGAAGATGAGCTGCAAACTTAAAATTTTGAATATAGCTCAAATTCGGATGACAATGCAAGAATATGATAAAAACTTAGATTTTATAAAATATTTACTTCTAAAAACAACAGTTTCAAATAATTAATTTAATGAGGCAATAGTAAGAATCTAAGGTTCTACAACCTTTACAATGAAAGATCATATAATCATAATGAACATTTAAAGAGTTATCCATATTAAAGTATATGAAAAAAAAGTCTTGCTGGGTTTCTTACTGGCTCTTTCCAGGACGGAGGATTTTTCCGAATCAGTGGTGGAAGCATAAATTACTTTCAATAAGTATTCTTGTAATCTGTTTTATTAGCGGCAGAAATGGACAAAGGAGTAGTACTTAGCCAAAAGATACCTCGTATGAGGAGTAGAAGCAGGGTCGTAGCTACCGCCGTATCAGCCGTATCAATGATACGGGGCCCCCGGGATACAGAGGAAAACCGTTTACTGAACGTTTGTAAGCAAAAATTCTAAGGACTTCTATGGGACAGGATGTTGCTTTAAATTGTTTGGCTAGCTTAGTTCCTAGGAGTATTAATTGTAAGTAATAATTTATAATCGATATATAATTATTTTACTTTCAATGCGAGAATTTTTGCTCCTTTTGTGAAAAATCTTTACCCTTCATTTGGGTCCCCCCCGCACAAATTATGATACAGGGCCCCTCTAAGGCACGCTACTCCTCTGAGTAGAAGCCTATTGCCATAATCATATTAAAGATTAAAATAATAAGAATGATACATATTTTCTGAAATGCCTGATATAATTGAGTAGATTATATGATTTAAGTGAGTAGTATATAGCTGTGGTAGTAGTGTATAGTGCCACAAATATATTACATTAGATACAAATTGACACTAATCTCTGATAGATTACGATGTCTGATAAGTTCGAACATTGGCATGGATGCGGTATCAGAGATACGGGAATAATTACTGACTTATGAAATTATAGCAAAAATATTTTTTTATAGGATAGGGTGTCAACCGAGCACACAGTCCACCTGATGGTAAGTAGTTGCTGTGGCCCATAGACATCTACATCTATCCTCGTTTACGAATCAAAATGCAGATGTGTTGTCACCTGTGAAGACTAAAATAGAATCCCTCTTTCTCCAGTAAAAAGGATCTCCGGTTCTCTACACTCACCATACGAAACAAGCAGTGTTAAGCTGGTATTGGTATTCTGTGAGAGCGTGGTCCTACCCCAGTCAAGCCGACCCATTCGTGCTACAAAGCATGGCTCTACCACTAATTATTTTTTTACAAGATATTGAGGGATCTGTCAATTTATCGCAGTGTATACTGAGAACTTAGCGACTAGAATGAAAATATTAGGCGAAAGTTGCGGTTGCAGTTTTAGTCTGTGCGAGTCAGACTTAACCCGTCCTTAGTGAAACGAGGCGTTTCTCCATCCCTTAGAACCAGTTCCCACCTTGACGTGAAGGGTGGCTTAGCAGTAGTTAGTGTCGTAACAGGTGACAGAAGAAAATGAAACTGTATATAAGCAGCAGCATATTCCTGTTAACTCAAAATATGATAACATTGAAAAACTGGGGTCGCCAGTCCGCCTGCCAATCGTGGCAACTATATCAAATATCCCCCTCTAAGTTCTGAATTCAAAAAAATACTAGTAATGCTATTAAACATTACTAATAATCCCTTTAACCACTTCAGGTAAGCTTAAAATGCTTGTGCTAGAAGTGGTTCACGACAGTAGTCGAATGGCGGATTCGAACCCACGACCTTTCGAGTTCGCGGTCCGCGCCCTGCCATTAGGCTACTGACGCTTCAATTGTGAATTGTGTGATAATCGTTATGACGTCATGCGTTTAGACCGTAACTTACCCCAAACACAAAAAAAAACTTGCGCTGGTATAATGGCTTGCATAGGGAGTGAATATGGTGCTAGACAAATGCATGGTTTCAGTACTAACCTTAATACCGAGTTACTCTGTGAAACGTTGCCTGCAAGTGAAATGGGAACTAACTGTAACCTAAATATTATTTTGGTATATATTCCTATTGATTCATGCAATATACCATCGCAATTAAATGAAGTAAACAACTTTGTTACATCATTAACTGAGCAGTACCCAGAAGACACATGCCTATTGTTGGGTGACTTTATCTTCCGTGTTTTAAATGGCAGGATGGTCATCATGAATTATATATATGATGTGATCTATTGGGGAAGCTGTAATGAATGAATAAAAATAAATATATAAAACAATTATATTAATTATGTACGCACCAGACCAATATTTCAACAGTGATAAGTGCGCAAGCGGCGAAAGTTTGCGCGACAATTCTTGCAGGCGGTGCCGTGCTTCGAAGTACGGTGACGAGTAACGCGTCGCTCACATCCGATGCGGTCTCCAAGGCTGCTACTAGTAGAGCTGGTGCGGCCAACCATCGAGCCCCTCGTTGCCACCACGATTTCTGAAGAGAACGGCAGAGTCGGGAAGGGACGCCCTAGACGAAGATTTATCGACCAAATCGGCGATACATTGGAAATGGGCCAGATTAGGAGTACCCTTAACCGACGAGCATGTATGCGTAGATAAATCGATGTAAAGGAGGCGAGAGAGATGTGTCAGGATCGCGCCAAATGTAAGTACGTAGTCTCTGCCTACCCCTCTTGTTGACAGGCGTGAGTGTTTGTTGTTGTGTGATTTCTGAAGCAATTGTGTAATATGGTAATAATTTCCTATTGGTTTCTTTTGGCCGTATTTAGCTTTCCTCATTAGCCCAGAGTACGAAACCTATCCAATTGCAGAGAGGTGTAAGACAGGGTGACGTCATATCCCAGAAACTCTTCACCGCTGCATTGGAAGATGTTTTCAAGCTTCTGGACTGGAAAGGATTCGGTATCAACATCAATGGCGAGTACATCACTCACCTTCGATTTGCCGACGATATAGTCCTTATGGCAGAATTGCTGGAGGACCTAAGCACTATGCTCAATGACCTCAATAGTGTTTCCCAACGGATAGGTCTTAAGATGAACATGAACAAAACAAAGATCATGTTTAATGTCCATGTCACACCTATGCCGGTAGTTGTTGGGAACACTAAGCTCGAAGTTGTTGACGAGTATGTTTACCTGGGACAAATAGTCCGACTAGGTAAGTCCAACTTCGACCGAGAGGTCAATCGACGGATTCAACTCGGTTGGGCAGCTTTCGGAAAATTACGACACATCTTCTCGTCAGGTATACCTCAAAACTTGAAAACGAGACTGTACACCCAGTGCGTGTTACCAGTGATGACATACGGAACTGAGACGTGGTCCTTCACTGCTGGCCGGATGAGGAAGCTCAAGGTTGCTCAGCGAGCTATGGAGAGGGCTATGCTTGGAGTTTCTCTGCGTGATAAACTCAGAAATGAGGATATCCGCAGTAGAACCAGAGTGACCGACATAGCCCAACGGATTAGTAAGCTGAAGTGGCAATGGGCCGGCCATATAGCTCGAAGAACCGACAACCGATGGGGAAGAAAGATTCTCGAGTGGCAGCCTCGTACCGGCAGGCGAAGTGTAGGGCGTCCCCCCACTAGATGGAGTGACGACCTGGTAAGATATGCAGGAAGTCGATGGATGCAGGTGGCTCAGGACCGTGCTTTGTGGCATTCTTTGGGGGAGGCCTATGTTCAGCAGTGGACTTGTGAAGGGCTGTAATGAATGATGATTAGCCCGCAACATTTCATTTGGGGAGGAATTGCGCTAATGGTCACGCTTAGCCATGAAATCTGTAACTAAGTTTTTTTTTATAGAAGAGGGGGCAAATAAGCATGCAGCTCACCTGATGGTAAGTGACTACCGCCGCCCATGAATACCCGCAACACCAGGGGAATTGCAGGTGCGTTGCCGGGCTTTTAGAAAGGTGTAAGCTCTTTTCTTGAAGGTCCCTAAGTCGTATCGGTCCGAAAAAAGCGCCGGTATTGTGAATATTGACGCGATGTGCGTTCGTGAAATTTGGCGGCTGGAATTAATCCGAACAATTCCTCAAAGCACTCCCCGTGGAAGATTCGACAGAGAATGCAAAGGAATGCAACATCCCTACGCCGCGCCAGTGAATCGAGCCGATTAGAAAGAACTCGGTCGTCGACGATTCGAACCGCTCTGCGCTAGACACGGTCAAGTGGAAGGAGCTGGCACTGGGTTGCTCCGGCCTAGAGATGAGAACAGTATTCCATGTGAGGCCGAACTTGCGCTTTGTAAAGTTACAAGCGATGTGCAATCATGAAATACTGTCTCGCTCTGCTGAGCACGCCAAGGGGTTCTTTTTAGCGGTAAACGCGCAAACTTGTGTCTTCTGGGGATTGAACTGGACTAGATTTAGTCGGTCCCAATCCGAGACTTTGTTCAGCAAAGACTCGACTTCAGACACAAGTTTGTTCCGGTACTCGGCGACGTTTTCCCGAGAAATATTGGCACGGCCG